TAGAACGAATAGACGAGGAATGCGTGTAGGATATTGGTGGGAAAGCCAGAAGGAAAGAGACCACTGGGAAGACCAAGGCGTAGGTGGGTGGACAATATTAGAATGGATCTTAGAGAGATAGGATGGGATGGTATGGATTGGATAGATCTGGCTCAGGATAGGGACCAGTGGAGGGCTCTTGTGAACACGGTGATGAACCTTCGAGTTCCATAAAAGGCTGGAAAATTCTTGAGTAGCTGCACAATTGGCGGCTCCTCAAGAAGAACTCAGCTCCATGAGTAAGTAAGTAACTTCACGCTATTGACACGATGTGGGCGAAGACTGGCTATTCCTCCCACTACCCAAAAATTAATCAATCCAATATTATGATTCATATCACATCTTTATCAAGGAAGAGATAGCAATATTTTTAAGCAATCAACGGGAGATTTATTGCAACTATGGACTCATTGTCCATTGCACCTCATTCCTCTGTACAGGGCCTAGACGTAACAACTGGATTATCATAATAATGGAAGAACACAAACTGACGAAGTATAGTTCTGTCACACGGAACTTACAGGGTTCACTTAAGAATCGAGACAGAAATGCTTTTCAAAGCGTAGACATACTTAAACTTTTTTGCTTCACATCAGACAAGATGAAGTCAAATAAAACTGTCATAATATAGAATGAAATTCTTTGAGGAGACTGTTTGAACCTGATATTACAGAGGAAAAAATTATATAATTATAAGGTTCATAATTTGTGTGAGTTTTTCATCAAATATTGTTTAATGTATCCAATATCGGATGATTAAATAGGCAGGGCATATAAAATTCATAGGAGATAATAGAACTGCATACAAAATATTGGACTGAAAACTGAAGGACTAATACCATTCGCAAGACATATATTTCGTTGAAAGGACAACAATAAAGTGAGTCAAAAACGGGAAGATCGAATTGGGAAAGGAGTCCTCTGGCTCAGGACAAAAGAGCCAATCAGTTACGGGACTCCTTAGCAAGCTCAGCTGCGCCCCTTAATAAAACTATGCCAGATGTAGTTAGCTGGCTGGCTGATTAGGTAGCCATATTATCACTGAGCGTGATTTTAAGAAATACAATTCGATTCTGTGTGACATATATCTCCGTTACGTAAACACGGCCCAGTTCCTCTGTCACGAGGAGTCGCATCGTGTAGATGCAAAATGGCCGGCAGAAACTCAGAAACAATTTCAATAATTACTAGTCTATCCCTGGAGTTATACCAAACTGAATAATGTAATAGTGTCACTTACGTGGAGCGAATTTCTGTCTCATTATACACAGAGCGGCTTTGTGACAAGTGCAGAAATATATGGACGCGTGGCGCCCTCCCAAAGTTTCCTAACTCCCTGTATGTTAACTTGCTGACTGGAAATGTGCGCATTAATTTCATATGACAGAACCTGATGAATGCATCTGGTATAAAGGTTTTATACTGTTTATATCAAGTAAGAAACAGGGATAGGACAGCCGGTATAGCGACTGGCTGCTGGCTGGACGACCGAGGGTCGGATTTCGAATCCCGGTAGAGTAAAGAATTTTCTATTCTCCATGTCGTCCAACGGCTTTTAGGGCCCACCCAGCCTCCTACATAATGGGCACCTGGGGCTCTTTTCCTGGGAATAAAGCGGCCGGAGCATGAAGCTGCCCACTCACCTCCAACTAGTGTCCAGTTCAAGAAAATGTGGATGTATATATCTACTCTCAAACAAGCCTTCATGGCGTAATGCTTAATTAGTTAAGTACAGGAAAAATTTTTATATCAAACAATCTCACGAAATCATTTCATCTAATCCTTGGAGGACCGGATTTTTTCTAATATATCAAATTCAGTTTATCACTTTCAGAAAAGAGATTAGGTCTCCAGTACAAAGACCAACCAGTTAATGTTGTTCAGGGGGAAAAATCGCTCTTTATTATGGGAAAAATACGAAACATAAAGCTAGATTGTATAGTCGGAATGCAGAGGATTTTTCCCCCTTAGCACTACAGCCCCAGTGGGCCTAGGCCTACCTCCATGAACTTGTCCGTTCACTTCGGTTTTTCTAGATCTTACACATTCGGTAGGACTCCTTGGGCGGGTGATCAGCTCGTCGCATGGCCTCTACCTGTACACAAACACAGAAAAACGCACACACATAAACTAAACATCCATGCTCTGAGTGCGATTCGAACATACGCTCCCGGTTGCCAAGTGAGCGAAGAAAATACAATGCAGAGTTTTACTGCATCAAAATTGGTACAAGTAGAAGTACTGGGGTTTAAAAGGTTAAATGAAGCTTAGTTAACCTTCATTCAGTAAATGAATTGTTCACGTTCAAATAAGACCTCAACAAATATTTTCCGGGCACTGTTGGAGACTTGGACAGGCCTAGAAGTTCCTAGGAAGAAGTGGAAGCGTCACTATTGTGCAGTTTCAAAACAGGGAATATAGGACACAAACCTTATGAGCAAGATGGCGGATTAGGCTCTCTGGCCTTTTCCCAATCAGAATTCATTCTGAAATTGCCAAACTGACAGAAAATTTTTACGACTCCTTGTACTGGAAGAAAAGCCTATCGCTATTCCGCTACCTACACAGGACAGCACACCCTCGGAGAGAAATTCAAACATACATCAATGCATCGAGTAAGACTCGAACCCATGATCCCAGTATTCCAGAGGACAAAGACATTTGGTGTCTATACTGTGTGGCCACTGTGATCAGCTTTGTTTAAAACAAAAACAAATCTAAACCCATATCCCATTTCAAGAGTTGGTACCACTGTCCACCTGACTTCTGTAGTCATTTGTCACAGGAAAGCATGTAAAGAGTACAATTTATGTCACACGTTTGAATTTGTGGGCACGGGAAAAGGGGTCGGTAAGAATTATTTTAAAATGATGTTTTTACTGACAGAATGTTAATCCATCGATGTGAACAAAATGGCGGGTGTGAGGAATGTGGAACAGGAGAGAAAATAATTTTAATACTCGTAAGCTTAAACAAAACGTGTAGGATCTCAGGTTCTCATATTCTCTTCTCGGATATAACGCCGTGTTTATCTTTCAACAGATTACTCGGTGTTATATCCCAGAAGATAGTATTCTTCTTAGTCAAAATATCTAATAAGCAATACTATTAACATAAATGATGCTTGTATTGCTGCCCGTGACACTGATAATGACCTTGGAAGAGAAAGAAAGCCATTACATGTTATGTAAATGCAAGAAGCGAAAGTTCGGCTAATTCTTGTGATCAGCGTCACAAGTGGGCCAAAAGCAGATCTACATAAACCCATTTCAGGCTGTTGTTCAGACAGACAATCTGTGTACCAATTCTAAAATTTTCCAAGGTTTGTTTCCTTACTAGAAGCCTATCCAGTTTGGTCTCACCCTTAAATATAACGGCAGAACGTCACCGTCTGTAATCATCCCTCTGACATATTGTAAGGTGGTGAAAGGAGGTTATAAAAATGTTGTATCTGTGCTTGAATAATTACGCTCCATGCCATGAAACCATATGGGATTGTGGAGGTATAACTCCACCATTCTTGACTTCGGCACTAGATGGAGGATAATGGCTAATTTCAAACCCCGGCCGCTTTACACCCAGTACCCAATGAATAGGAAGCTTGTTGGACCTCACAGTCGGTTTGGACGCAGTGCAAAGGAAAATGTCTTGCTCCTGCCGAGAATCGAACGCTGACCGTCCAGCCCGTAACCCGTCACTATACCGACTCTTCCCGCTCACCGACGAAAGGAAGGAAATATGTAAAAACAAATGATAAACTCAGGGAAGGAACATTCGGTGCTGACACAGAAACATCTCAGGATTAAATTTATTTCCCAGCCAAAAGTACGACCAAGTACCTCTAGTTTCTTAGTGGGCCTGATGCTTCAGAAAGTAGTCGTTCTGTTCCCGCCAGTGGCCAGCAGACTTGATTGCGTTCAGGAGGACTCTAGCAAAGGTCCAGAGTTCTTTGGTTCTCCTTAATTCCCTCATTCCATTCCTGTTTCCATGAATTTGTTTATATTCTACTCTGACTAATCATCTCATCACACATCTCCCTAGTACTCGTATTTATCGTATGATATATACCCCCTGTTATCACGATGGCCTCTTATCTAGGAGAGTTCATGCTCCCCTGACGCTGCAATAGCACACCATTATTTGTGTGAGTCATGGTCGTTTCTGTCCTCATGCGCAACAGCATGTAACTAGTACGGCCGGCGCGAGAGGCGGCACACTCTTCAGCCCCCGATGGGGTTCCTGTTAAATAAAATCAATTCACGCTGTCCTTCTGTTCATACCCTGGGAGTCAACTGTCATAATCTGAATATGTTAAGCAACGATACAAACAAAACTGCTATAGAATCACGAATTAGAACAGAATTAGAATCAGAGTTAGAAAATTAGAATATACAAAGCTATAAACTTGGTCTATCACATTAAAGGAGGAACATAGACTCAGGGTGTTTGAGAACAGGGTGCTGTGGACAGTATTTGGACCGAAGAGGGGTGAAGTGAAGGGAGGTTGGAGAAAAATTTACGTATGATGGGGAGCTTCATAACTTGTACTCTTCTCTAAGTACAATGAGAATGATCAAGTCAAGGAGGATGAGATGGGCAGGACATGTATCACGCATGGAGGAAAGAGAAATGCATGTAGGCTTTTAGTCGGAAAGCCAGAAGGAAAGAGGCCACTAGGCAGACCAAGACCTAGGTGGGTGAATAATATTAAAATGGATCTTAGGTAGATATGATGGGGTAGTATGGGTTGGAATGAACTGGTTTAGGATAGGGACCAGTGGATGATTCTTGTGAATACGTTAATGAATTTTAGGGTTCCATTAAATTTTGTGAAATTCTTGAGCAGCTGAGCGACTGGCGGCTTCTAGAGAAGGGCTCATCTCCATGGAGATAGTTATACACGTAGAGTCAATGTATTTACTTACAATGCCTGGACACATCATGTTATTAATTGTGATGAAGTCCTGAGAAAGATTACATATTTTAAACGAGGCGGTAGGCGAAATTGAGTTTGCGCATGTCTTCCTAACTACTGATACACTGACGAGGATGTCTGCTTAAGTGCTCTGCATACAACTGTCAGGTTTTGTGTAAAGGACTGTCTGATCCTGGATAGGACTCGAGTGTGCTCTACAAAAGTGCCAGAAGTTTTTCCGCGGAATTAATTCGGAATCAAACCCAGACAATTTCATTATCTCTGCATGTTTCTTTAAACGTAAATTTTTCTTTTCCAAAGACTTTCTTTTTTTTTCAAAATTGAAAAATAATTATTTTTATGAACGAACCTATGAATTAAATATCGTATTGGTGAAATATGGAAAATAATAATATAATGATATTTTTAAGTGTCAGTACTTTACTTCTAATATATCTCCGCGCTGACACGTTGTTATAATTAATTGTGAAAATGGAATTCCTACTGTGAAAATGAAGGAAATTAAATATATGCAATTAATAAGGCCACATTCCTAATACAGAACATACGTATAACTGACATTCCAAAACTATAATTTTATTTCGAATTACTTCAAGTAAAATAACTGAAGTATATTTTCAGTATAAATAGCCGTTTTATTATTCAAAGCATAAATATCATTTCATATTTTCTTTCTCATAACCAACATAATCATGTAGTTCCCTTGCAAGCTACATGTAGATTATACGAGACCAGAGGCATATGAATAGTAACATATTTACTTAACGGTAACAAATATCGTATAAACGAATTTGTTGGTATATATTTAGTGCAGAAATATTGGTAAATATATTCGGAGAGAAAAAAGTATAAACTTCATAACAAATTTATCATTTTTTTTTCCTAAAGAGAACTGAATATGGATAATGAAATATTTCCATTCAAGTTAATTAACTACATTCCCCAATATACTGAGTTCAATCACCGAAGCAAGTGACATAACATCAAAGCAAATGCTTGAAACTACGCGCAGTCTACATCAGAGGTAAGTACCAGTACATACTGTGACTGTGGCCGACATCTGCTATGCTAATGTGATGTATAATTGTTACAGAGACACCTCGCGGCAGACCAGTGATATCAGGAATACGCCATCGGTATCGTGCTGACGAAATTCTCCATGGAAACTGTTCCTCCTCATGGTCTAAGCCTGCCGCCAAGTTGACCTGGTTCGTTAACGGTAACCCGGTGAGATGCAAATAATTACATTCTGTCACTCAAGTGTTTACGTATGGGCTAAATCACATAACTAAATGTTGGTAAAGCAATTCGCAGCCAGGTTTAACAATCAACCTCACTAATGTTACTTCACGAACGACGCTTCAGGTCAATACGATAGAATACACGCAAATTCAATTCGTCACTAAGCCTACTACGAGCAGACAGTTTCACCAATCTGGAATTTCTCGTGATTCCAAGATTGAAACGCTGTTTGAAGTGTTACATTTGGTTTAAATTCACCTTCTACGGATTACCGGCATATCGCATGAAACCAGAAACACAGATTTGAAGCGTCTGAGTAATGTGGGACAAGCGAGATCTAGAAAATTAATTTGAATCAGTTGTAACAAAAATATTCAAATGCACGATATTAAACATATTAAATTCTCCAACATAATAATTCAGTAACTTTAATTTATTTACTCGTAATACGGTAACGTAGTCGGTTGAGACACTACGCTACAAGCCGGAAGGTCGCCGGTTCGAGTCCCGATGAGGTGAACTTTTCCAATTTACCTAATCTTTTCAGCCGCAGTATGGCCCTGGGATCGAGTCAGCCTCTAACAGAAATGATACCAAGAATGTTCCTGAGATGTAAAGGGCGGCTGATAAACTTACCGCCATCTGTGAGTCGACTGTCTAGAGAAAATGTGGGAGCCTCGACTTCTCACAAACCTATGGGCCCTCACAGCCTGTCACAAAGATAGCTTCGCCTTTAACGTCCGACTTAAGTCTCAAACCTGAATATAAGCCTGAAGTGTAACCATTCCTTCGTTATAGAATCCATAATATTATTACTTGGAGATTAAACAATTTAACCTTAAAATTAAACTTTAGCTCTGAAGTTAACAATATCAGTCATGCTAAGTTACTTCAGCACCTTCACTGAGCTCCGCTTCCTCTCTGAGAGCAAAGAAGCCTGCGTGAACACATTGGCTTTTATAATTACAAGACACTTCGTGCCTGCGCTCATTTGTTGTCGAGCGATGTGTAGAAGCCGTTTGGCGATTAACGCCATCTATGAAACACTGAGAGTGAGAGGAAGAAGAACTTCTGTATTTCTTAAAATCCTTTAAATATATGCTCCATCTCCTCCCAGCACCAATAACAATGCCATGTTTATTTGCATGACGTGTAACAGTGAAAACCTAACGCCTATACATGAAATTCCATTACAATATCTTATATTAGGTCATGATCTAACGACACCCATTTCAGTGTCTGTTGGCGTAACGGAGATAAGTCTAAACACATATTCTAAGATTCCGATTTTAATTCACTTGGTGTTCGTCCCCTAACATGAGCCAGAATAATTTAGTCTCACACAATTCTTTACTATCAATTAAATATTATATTTCCGTTTATGTGTGTATCATTATTCAAAGCGACACAATTCTTCCAAAAAATGTATTTATAATGACCTGTTAATTTACCCATTAACAACGTATTAATGTACTGTGGCATGTAGACCCGTTGCTAGGTGGCGACTGTACAGCGGCCGTTGTTAGGCAGCGGACAGCAAACAATAGAGAAGTCAAATTTTCTGCTCGATCCGCTAAGCAACAATAGAACAGCAACAGAGAAATAGTGTTTTCTGTGCAGCCTATTCCAGAATGTTATAAGCAGTAAAATTAGTCAGTCGGTCAGTGGCGTGGAGTGAGTTGGTTGGTGAGAGAGTGAGTGAGTGAGTGAGTGAGTGAGTGAGTGAGTGAGTGAGTGAGTGAGTGAGTGAGTGAGGTAACTGCTGGGGCTCAGTTATTGTAAGCCGTTTCTGTGAGAAGTTGATAGCAGAGGCATGGGGAGAGTTCGGAAACTCAGAGAAAGTGGAAAGTCCGCCGTTGAAGCCACTACCAGGCAACGGCAGTGAAAACGAGACTGTGTACACTAGAGCGTGCGCGCGCGCGCGCGTGTGTGTGTGTGTGTGTGTGTGTGTAACAGTGACCTATGTATTGTAGTCACGCGTTGGGTATCAAAGAGTACAATAAATCGAGCCATGAATCCAAAACCGGTCTATAGTCACTCATACACGTGACAGTAGAGATGATATATGGATTATGACTGCTTCATTTCCATCTAGTTTTAACTATTGAAAATTTCAATTCAAGAGTGAACTGACTGTGTAATATAGACCTCTAACGACAAGAAGCAATCCTCTATTTCGACATGAGCTGAGGTCCTTACTGAGGACAACGTGAATTGGTCTGCTCTTTCTGCGCTGAAATGGAAATGAGAAAAAGTGAGAAAATAAGTAGACCAAGCAGCTCCTTCCATACTTCCTCACGTAAATTATAAATGTGTTTTACATTCAGACCTTGCCCTTTTAAAACATTTTGAATGAAAATAAGGCACATTGATTTAAATATCTGTGTACACTGAACTCACTGGGAAATGCATTACGTCGGAAACGGGGAGGCTTCAGAATCTCTTCAATTTCTGAGAAATATTTTATATCGAAGTCATAATGGATGTTTTCAGGAAATTTTAGACTCCGCGTACTTTTGTCTGCCACAAGTTCTCTTCAGGCGTTGCTGTGATTCCAAACTTCTCTTGAAGAACAGCACGGTTGGTGCTGCACACAAACTGTACCCACCTCAATCAGGCGCCTACTGAAGTAACGTAGAGATGAAACTGAATTAAGGATCCAAGGAATAAAGTACTTTATTCCTCGTAACTCAATGCAGTTACTTCAAGCAATTAGCAATGAAAACTGCATAATGATTTTCATTTCTCTTGTCTCCTTCCGAAGATTCTGATGAATATACTGAACCTTCATCTTATCACACATCGCAAAACCCGCTTTCAAGTAAGACTACAAACAATACATGAAGAACGTCAGAGGGCAGGTAAAATAAAAACTGCTCTTTTCAAAGCTTAAGAAATATGCCATGAAAGTATGAAGTAGATTCGTCTGGCACTAACAGGGACCAATGTAGATGGAAATGAACTTTCAGGTCTATAAAAGACAAGATATTCCGTGACACTTGAATGACTAATGATTTCAGAGAGTGACTCTGCTCCGTGAAATTGGTTCTCGAGTTTAATGTCTATGTCATTTTTACCGTTGTGCCCATTGTAAGCAAGTTATTTCATGAATACGCCTACAATATATAAACCTATTTGTGACAGTCAGTATCCGCTCTGTCTGAGACATGAACTATCTTCGGACGCTGGGATCGTGAATTCGAATCCCACTCAAGGCATTGATGTTTGGTGTGTGTATGCGTTTTTCTGTGTTTGTGTTTTTATTTGTTTAGGTAGAGGCCTTGCGATGAGCTGATCACTCGCCCAAGGAGTCCTACCGTCTATGTAATAATGATTACAGAAATGAACAAGAGGCCAGGACCCTGAAGGGGCTGGAACATCAATCGAAAAGTAAAGAAAAAATTAATGACAATACATTCTTAAATAATAGATTTTCAAGGGAAGTTAATAAATTTGCAAGACTTTGTTATCTTCGCATCTGGTCTCCATAATTCACCAGTTTAAACACAGGTTTACATCCGTATGCGAAAATATTTGTGTTATTTAACAGTATTAATGGTGGGTTATAATCACATCTATTAACATAAGTATTTGTAATAATTGTAATTTATACTCGATGGGCCGCGCCATATATCAAGCGGTTAGTCGCTAGCTTCCCATTGCGGAGGCCCGGGTTCGATCCTGGGTCTCGTCACGTGGGATTTGTGGTGGACAAAGTGGCGCTTCGACAGGTTTTCTCCGAGTACTTCGGTTTCCCCTGCCAATCTTCATTCCACCAATTGCTCCACAATCACCCTCACCTATCATCTGGGGCTGGTACAATAGACCAGAAGTGGCCGCAGTACAAGGGACTTAGTCGCACCCCACTAGCAATAAAAACACTTATACTCGTTAAATAGTTCACGTTAAGACTCCTAAACATGATGTGTAAAAATGCTTGATAAATGAATGAATAAACAAACCTGTACAAAGGTCAAATTATTTGATGTTAAATTTGGAATCCGATCAATTTTTCATCTCTACAAAGGAGCAAGTTGCACCCAAAGAAAAATGGCTCCGTTAGTAATCATGAAACCGAAAGCCAAATTAATCAAATTAACTGTAAAATACTATTCTATTGAAGACAAATGAGAAGAGAAATGCGTAACTTATTTCCAGTGCCCTACATCACGCCGTTCAGTGGCCCTAAGCAGAGGGGGAAAAAATACCCCTTCCGCATTCAGTTATGTCTGTCGCCCGCACACGGACTCTCAACAGTCCTTGGGAACCTAGTTCGGATGGAATTTCTCGGAGCTCTCTCTCCTTCCATTGATACTCAACCATAATCAATATGTCCTTTCGACTTTCATGTGGAGAACATTTAGTGCCAAGAGAGGTGAAGTTTATGGAAATAAAATGTACCCTGTAGACTTCACCAGAATTGTGTAAGATTTGAGGCTTTCACGGCGGTGACTATAAAGAAAGCAGTCTTCTGGGATTTGGCACCGTGTGTATGTGGTGTTAACCGACGTTTCGGAGGAACGTATCGCCTCCATCTTCAGGGTAGAAGAAAAATATAAGAAATCCGCAAGCGAAGAGACCGTGAGAACCGGTATCCGAAACGTCGGTTAACACCACATACACACGGTGCCAAATCCCAGAAGACTGTTTTCTTCACCAGAATTCTTTAGGATGGCAAGGGCGATATATGAAGCATTAGTTGAGGGTAGCCTTTTTTTTTTTAACCATAGTGGAAAGTTACCGACTGGGGGAACGGTGCCTAGCTGCGATCGGAAGGTTTTGAGTGACAAATATCTGTGAAATGCCTTATGAAGAGGAAAGTGCAGGAACAATATGACATTTCTTCAGTAACTGGGTCTGCGAAGGAAGAAAACAATTTGAGCGAAGATTGTTGGCAAACACTAGATACGACCGTGTAGTCGGCTTCTGATTTCTGTGCACGATAAATGTAACGTGTTATATTAATCAAATACACAGTGACAATG